GAAATAGCCGCGCGACCAGTATCCTCTTCAAAGAAATGGCCATTAAGCATGTTGAATTGCGCGAAAACTTCGGGAGCATAAAACTGGGACTGAGAGACGGATAAGAGGCATGTTGACATACCAGGCGAGTATCGATATCCAGTAGGAAAGTGTTAAAATCGTACTTATCTCCTGTATGAATCCGCAAAAAATCGAACAAACGGGGCGCACCCACGCATAGGACATTCCTCACGTCCAAGTCGTAAAGGACAGACACCAGGAAGTTTAGCCAGTCGAGGGAGAAAAAGACTTGCTATAGGTCGGTTTGCTAGTTAGTGAACCCAAAGTAAGCTGGGTACCGCATGCCCTGAGGACAGTTGGAGGGGCTCCAGAAGATAGCTCGGCCTACGCAAAGTGCCCTTCGCCAAGCCACTGACAAAACTGTGTCCATGATGGTCCTGGGAGCAGGTAGATCGCGCGAAAAGCAAATTGCAGGTGTGACAGTAACAGCGATCCTCTTGTGGTAGGGTGCACAGATGGAGCGCGGAGGTCATCTGTTTGAGTCTATAGGAGGTGCAGGCCTCGGCATCCTTTCTACAGGCACGAGCTGTGCGGAAAGCAGCACAACGATATTTTCGAATCTTTGTCGTCTTCTCCTCGAATTGCAGTTTTGCTCCTATTAAGGAAAGTGTTATTGAGAAATTAGAGCAAAACAGACCACTAAATTCAATGGCCAAGGAGTACTATGTAGTTCAAGTGGAAAATAGCCTAGTGCTCAGCTGGTCGAGACAGATATAAGGCATATCTAGCCGGCTTCATGTCAAACATTATGAAGTTGATCGGTAAATGTCCCCGTCATAATTAATATTCCCGACCACAACTAACGGGACAACGGGTCCCCGACTCAATGGTAGTATTACGCTCAAGGACTGTTTCGAATCCCAGGTGACCCACACCTGAGGTTGGGTAGGACTTTTTGATAAGCCATAAATGGCCATTTTGGTTTCCCTTGTCTTTGTCGGTATCCCATTGTCATTAATGCTGGAAGCCCGTTGACAACGCAAAATGTAGTGGTCAAAAGCATGTGCGTGCGTGGCCAAAAAACACATCATTTGATGTAATATACAGTTAAAGAAATACACCGATTCCATGGTACTTTATTCTGGTTCAATGATGACCTCCCACATCTCAACCTCTATTAGGACATGGTGAAAGGTGGGACTTGACTTACGTTGAAGTATTCTAGACATCGAAGTAGGCAACAGTGGGACTCTTCAGGTTATTTTAAGAACGGAATATTTAGGAAAAGACTACTCTCTTCGGCAGAAAGATCCGTGTCAGTTGGTTTCCATAGTAGAAATTTGTGGTATGGAAGTAAATAGACTGATCGAAGCGAAAACCCTCATTCTCAGACATAAATGATAAAATACGATGTCAGAAATTTTCCTTTTATGTTCCTGACGCCTCCAAAACAAACAAGTCCTTGGCATCTAATGATGCGATATCGCGCACCACAGTACTTAACTGTGTTCACGGCTGTGCAGTTAACTTTTTAGTCAAAGTTCACCTATGGGGAGTTGAGTATCGCCAGCCGCTGTTCGCTAGCCATGGCAGCACGTATCGGCCGGAAGATGCAGGCCGCTACCGATCTTACAACATAACTATAACCAACATCGCCACGACGGTAGTCACTGTTCAATTTCGCGAGTTTGATTCTATACCACGTAATGTCATGCATTGTCGCGTATAGCTTGCTTTGACCTCCGCAGAGTGGGTCGTGGTTCCCCGTAAGGTACAGTAAACCATAGTGGGTTTCGAGTTATTTATGGATGGCATGCCTCTAAAACGGGCCACGCGGTAGATGCGCTGGACCAACACAGAGTTTAGATCGGGTCCGGCAAGCGTTACTGGGAATGCGCACCCATAGCAAATGCCAACACTGGAGGTGTGGCGGCATGCCCAGTCGTAGACCCGCGGCGCGTCAGTTGGGATCCGAGCCGCCCCTCCTCCTTCTTTCTAGTGCGAAATCCTGATCTGTTGTACGTTGTGGGCCTGGGTACGCCCAGGTGCGGGTTTTTCCCCGCGCTAACCACCCGCGTCCTCTCCCTCCTCCGGTCTTCTCGACTCTGTCATGACATCGTGTCCAGGTGGGGGAGGAGGAGTGTGGTAGATGCTACGCAAGTCTACTATCATTATAAACTATTTCACGCATGTCACCGTCCCTGCGCTCACCCTGTTCTGCAGCACACGGTGGACATCGTCGGAAACGAGGGTCGAACTGTTACATGGATGTCACGCTTGCGTGCCAAGCCGTTGGTGTATCTTCAACTGAGCGTCGGCGCGTGGGAGAATAAACTAGGGCAGTGGGGAAGATGAAACCCTCGTCTTTGGCAGCGGAACCACTGTACCACGACTTGATATAATTTCATTTTTGATGCCGCGGGTATTGACCATGGAAATAATTACACGGCCAGAGGGACACTGCTGACAGAGCATACAAACATGGCGCCCGCAAATCGTGATACGACCCTCTCCATGGTCGATCGATTCCCGGAAGGATATGGACGGCAGATGAGGTCGAAGTAGGAAGTACAAAACTGCAGTGGCAACAATACCGGATGTTTTGCAACAAGTGATTACGCAAACGCGAGTGATAATTGGGATAGGGAGTTCAGCACCAACTCCCCCTACAGGTGATGGCAAATGACCCTTGACCAGAAATGCGTTACTGCCGTCATGAACATTAAGTTGTCTTCTTGCAATTGGTACCGGACTCCCAGTGCCCTTTCTTTACGAAACGCCAGCAGGGTAAACACACAGTCCCCGACTTCTCCGCCATTTTAAGAGGAAGCCCGTTAACGACAAGCGGCCGTGGGAACAATATAAAACAGCATAAATTTTGAAGGGTAAGGCAAGAGGAATATTAATGTCGCACATCTTAAACATCATGAATTAAAGCATGGTGTGCTGCTGTGGCGAGGCTTACCATGATAACACTTTGGCGCATTCTC